GGTTGGTTGTAGCGTATTATAATCATATATATATATATACACAGGAGAAACTATTCCCCGCTGGACACCATCCCGGTATTTCTGAGTCAAGGTTTCGAGGCCTGAATTTTTTATGTTACTAGGTAGGCCTAACAATCAGGTATTAAAATAGGACTTTCAATGATGATAGGCTCTAGGCTAAGCCTAAAGTGTAGGCTAGCCAGCCTTTGTTGAAAGGGCACTTCATGAAAAGGGGGTTCGTTCGAACCCAACGAACCCCCCTGGCTACGGTCTTGATAATCATGCAAGTTACCAATCTGGCTGACATTGTGTTGTGCTTGGTAAAAATGTGGCCTGTGATTGGAAAGAGGGGATCCAATGGGGCATGGAAATTTTGCTACTACATTTTAAAATTTCAATACATATCAACACCAGGCACTAAAATAAGAAAAAAATAGAATACAAATACAAGGTGTTTCAATCAAGCTTTATGGCCCCTTGGTTATGCCAGTGGTGGCACCAGTGGAACAGGGGCAATTTCCCTCCTGTCGGACATTTCCCTCCTGTCGGACATTTCCCTCCCGTCGAACAGGCCTGGGCAATCCTGTTGTCCGATGCCATGACAAGGTCATCTGATAAAAAAAAATAATAATTTGCCTATCCAAACAACATTATTTTGATCGCCAATTCCTAATATTGTAGTACGAAAAGCACAATTTGCACCATACTTTAAAGCCGTAAATACAGTATTTCTAACAGTAAACCCTATAGAGATTTTTAATTTAAGGACCTCGAACAAGGCTCTAGTCGGCCCTTGGTTTGGGCCCCTTAGCCTCACTTCTCAGCAAATTTCTGGAGCCACCACTGCTGCTGCCTAATGCTCTCCACTTATCAATTTTGATAAATTGGAACCCCTCCCACTCTGAAAAATTGAGAATCTGCCTCTTGTTTTTTTCAAAACAAAGAATAGTACATTGTGCTACGAGATCAATACTTAACCTGATGAATCTCCTGAATCCATTTTCAATCATCCAAAAATAATCTGCACTTTTGTACTCTTGAGTCTCATGAATTTACTTTACCAACTATAGTACTGTACTCGTGTAGACCTGAAAGGGCAAATCAAATATTTAGTTACAATTCAATTCTTTGATGCTACAGGATAATAAAGGTATCTACAACAATGAACATATTGACGAAAGAAGGTAATCCATATTCAGATACACAAAAACAATCTTTAACCATTGAGAATGTTAACAATTATTGGGAATTACTGAAAGCTGGCTGGGTCATCAGTGTGACATGATAAAAGTAGAAAAAAAAAAGTGAAGAGAAAAATGAGAAGTTTGACCCTGAAGGGAAGACTGTGCAAAAATGTCTTGATGAAACACTTGTACAATTAGTGCACCTTCACATCCTTACTTGAGTCATTAGACAAGTTCATAAAAAAATATAGATATATCACCTCTATGTTATAATTACCTAAAATATAGTGCCCTCTATGTTATAAGGACTTAATGGTAGATAAAGCTGTGTTGGTCTGATAGACCACAGACTTTATATGGGTAGATAAAGGAAATAAAAACTTTATAGGCTAACTACAATTATTTAATACACATGCTTTTGCCAGCCAGTCTATGCTACCAGTGTTTGTATTCCATGAGAACTTAAGCATCTATGTACTGTGCTTGTAAAGACAAGCTAGATTAATCTTCTGATCCAGCTAACCACAGGCCTCGAGAAGTAATCACCAATAATTGAACTGTATTTCAAAATTTGGGGGCTTGCTATCCCAAAACCAGTATACCGGCAAACTTGTTGCCATCTCAATGCAGGAGACAAAAAAAAAAAAAAAAAATGATATAGCACCCTCTATTTAGAAATCACAGAATAGTGCACCCTCTATGTTATTTAAAAAAACTGTATTGGTGGAACTGTTACTGTTTACTGTTGTCAGTCGGTATAACTTCGTTAAAAGAGGTTTGCATGGCCTGTATTCACTTTTAATGACAAATTCATTTTTTCCCCTAAACAAATTTTAGGGTATAATCGGCCTACTAGAAATTTTATTTTTTATAATATTTTTATTTATTTATCTGTCTGAACAATTGGAAGCGAAATAGAAATTTAAAAAAAGAGGACAAAATAATGAGCCTGGGGTGTAGTCAAGTGTTCAGCATTTTTTTAGATGATGCAGAGAAGGAAATTTGTGTGTCCTGATTTTCAAAGAGAGTTATATGAAATTTTGAAAAAAAAAAGGCTACTGTACATCAATCACATTCAAGATTTTCAAGGCTCAATCCAAAGATCTTATAAACACAAGATAGCGTTCTCCGCGATTTACGCGTAACTAATAGAAGCGTCGATTTGGCAGCAGAAAGTAATCATTTACAAGAGTTTATAAGATCTTTGGTGTACAATCATCACTACATACAAAGGGGGCAACTCTCTCTAGTACTAGGTACTGTAGGGGCCTATATACTAGGTCAAAAAATATAAATTGTTTGTTTGCCCTTATTTTTTTAAAAATGATAATTTCTTTTTTTTCAATTTACTTTTCTTTTTAAGATACTCATCAGATGGAATAAAATTAACCCACAGAGGCAATATTTTACATTAGACAACTTTAGACTAAATTTGTGTAGGGCATCTGTCTGGCAAAAAATAAAGATAAATTCACTCACATTTTTTTTTGTAAAGAAAAAAGCTAAAAAAAACCCTCCTTTTTTATGGCGGGTAGAGGAGAGCAAACACACACTTTTTTTTGTTTGGCCTTATCTAGGCCCTAGTCAAGGGCCTCTCTGTAAAACTATGCTGTAACCTAGGGCTAGCTAGGCCTAGGCCTATGATGATGGTAATTATGGCCAGCCTAAATTATAAAAGACCTCTCTGGCATCTAGGTAGGGCTAGGCCTATGTAAAACATACGGGCAAAGGAAATGGGAGATAATTTAAGACACGCACATTAATTACACTATACTGTAACTGACACTGCTGAAAATAAATGTCATGCTGCTTTATTTATTGTGTGCATTTCTGTATTATAAGTTGGTCACCAACAGCAGCAATCGGGGTAGCCCGCTCTAAGCCAAAGCAACAACGGAAAACTGACTGTCAGATTATACTCACCGGTAGGCTTTTAAAAAAACATTTTCGCTCTCAATTTTTCACATATGAATACGTAATTTAACAGTGAAAATATATTGATTGACAAACACTTCCTCGAAGTAGGCTGTGCTTGGAGGTAAAGATCAAAAGTCAGGGGAAGTTCAGTTTGTTCATCCACCAACCGCCATGTTGAGAGGGAGTCCCCGAGATTTGCACACGGCACATCAAAGCATGCGAAATCGGGGTCGCCAAAATTAGGCCAAAGGTTAATAGGCACGTGCGCTGTCTGTTTTGAAGGGTTTTCTGTTAACAATACTTAGTTTTCTGTTAATGTTATAGGGCAGGACAAAATTATATAATTGAAGGTTTGTATATAAGCCGAAAAAGGGAAAAATTGTTATGTTGCCATGGATGGTGCCAGGTCTGTCGTATACGGAAGTTGTTGAAATTTCCACGGCACGGTGCTAAATAGTAAATAAAAACAAACCAATCCGCGGCGACAACTTTCAAAACTTTGAAAGCGCTTTCAATTCGATGGCGAGTGTTTGACAAACAATTAGTAAAATTGTATTATTTCAAGGTGTGCTATATTGTTAAATATATTGTTTGTGCTTGGCCTAGGCCTGGTGCTCAGTTGTCGGATTCACCTTGTTGAAGGTGAGATTGTTGTTGTCAATTCTACTACTACTACTAGGCCTAGTCTACCTTTAGGCTGTACTGCTACACTAGGGCTAGACCTGGTCCTAGGCATAGGCCTAGTTTCTTCTGTACCACTACTACACTAGCCTAGGGCTAGGACTCTTCCCTCCTAGCCTAGGCTAGCCTTTCCCAAGTACAGAATAGGCCAGGAGGCGAACAACATAAACGGCAGTACTATTTAACTAATTATTTCTACTATACTACTGTGTTTTCTTGCTTTTAAAAGATACCCAACCATCACATTCGCAGGGGGCGGATCCAGATCTGTTCACAAACGGGGAGGTAGAGGGTGTAGTAGGCTGGTATCATCCTGGAGGGGGTGGGGGTGGGGAGGTGTGGGATTTAATCAAAACGAAATTTCTAACCATTAAAAACTTTTTTAGTATTTTTTAATAACTCACTTTTAATTTGCGTCCATAAAGGGGTGTCCAGCACCCCAGCCTATGCCTTGGGGGTGGGGCAGGCACATTGTTTGTCTTATTTCAATACATGGCATTGTATGTACTGAAATTTAAAATGTATGTAGTGGCAACATCCATTCCTGTGTCTCCTTGCTACCAGTTGCTACCAAACATGCTGTGATCCAAAATGGTCTTCCTCTTGACACTGTCAGGAATTTAGGCAACCCCTCATGTCAGTTTAATGGGTCCATTTTTTCATACTACACCTGCCAACTCAGAGGCAAAATGCATGAGTCTTACCCGTCGCATGAGGCATCCTATTTTTACATCTCACGCATACGTTGTATTATCTTATGCGCCATAACAATTTTATGAAATAAAAGATAAATGTATAGGCCGATGAAGTGAATTATCAGAATGTGAATACATGCCATATAAATTTCCTTTAATGAAACTATACTGACTGATAATCAATCAACTATAGCAGTTCCACCACTAAAATAATAATAATAAAAAAAAAAAACTCCCAATGTTATTTGCCTATCCCCCACAGTCCACGCTTGGTTTGATTTTTTTAGGTTTGTGTGCAAAAAAATTCCTGATTATTTCGTCACCGCAAAGATATTGTGCACTGCAGTGAAAATTGAATTGTAAAGATACTTTTGTAAAACAATGTTAATTAGAACCTGAAGAAAGTTACTTGAAATTCAGTATTAAGTATGGACAATGCAATTCCTTGAATCAGTGAACCCTAATAAACTAAACAAACTTTTTTTTGTCTCGCACATCAAGGGCCAACAAAGTTGGCAGGTAGCATGCTTCTACACCTTCCCAAGGGTAATCCTGTCAATGGCCCTGAATTTCCCTTTGAATATTAATTTGAATAAAAAGATAAGAAAAATGTTTTTTTTATGATGTTATGGATTTTAGCCCATAGTAGTTTTTTTGCCAAACAAACCATAATTTCCAATTATTAATCATTTTGGGCATTTTTAATAATGATTGTCTATTGTTTATATTTTTTTCGAGGTAACCAATATATCTGGGATGTGATCACACATTTCCATAAATTGTTCCTTTCCTTAAGGAATGCTAAAAAAGCATGACAGATACCAGTGCTTTTGAAATCTCAAACCATTCCTACTTTACATGTACTTCAACTGATTCTCTTTGATTATACCATGTTGTTCACACTGATCTAGCGTTAATGTCATGTTTCAGTTAATTTGATAGTGTCCAGATCAATTTACTATTTACTGAATATACCGTAAATGATGTAGGAATTCTGCGGTTTCAGTGCCATTCCATATTAAGATATTGTTAGGCCCTTTCTACTTCACGATTCAGAAACTGGGGATACGCTCATATTTTATTTATTTATTTACCAAATTTCTATAGCGCCCTTTTCATTAGTACTCATGTTCAAAGGCGCTTTACATTAACGATACAAATAGAATACAAAAATATAAATTTAGAATAATATTACAATTATTATCGATTATATACAAGTTTTAAATCATTAGATTGCAAAATTAATAATGAAAATATTATAAAAACCTTAAACTACATTTAAACTACAATAAATTACCAATCAAAATATAAACAATTGAGAATATCTGAAATTCATAGATTAATTACGATAATATTTATAAAACGATAATTAAAAATAATAAATAAATAATAAATAAATCATACTAGAAATCTGTTTTTTTTTTGTGTAATTTTTAGTAATTAGTATAATCATCTATATTTATTAATACTCTAGTATGTTTGTTTATGCTTTAACTTATTATTTTTAATTATTATCCAAAACTCTATCATGATTAGCTGTCACAGTATAATATATATTATGAAGAATATTTTAATGTACTGTCTAAATAGATAAATAAGTAAATAGATAAATAAATAAAATACTGTAAATACACAGAGTTCACAGATGATGGACATGTGTCATTTTATCAAGCTAAATTGTTTATTTAAATCTAGGCCTATAATAGGCCTATCTTGATGACTTTCAAAACTCACCCCATGGACACTTCTATCGAAGACCATATAGAGTAACAAAATCAATATATAAAGTAATATGATAGATTGCAATTGTAAATATGATTATTAAAAAAAATATCATATTTCATATCACAAGTAAATATGCTTATTCATCAAGAGATTAATTGCAATTACAATCAGGTTTCATTTCAGCCATGGGCGGCAACATGTTTTGATTTCCTCGCCATCAGATACGCGCCACTCGCTTCCAGATACGGAAGTCCTCGCAGCATAATCTTACAAACAGCCAACTCTCAAGATGGTCTGGTGTTTTGGTAGAAGACCAACCAGCGTATGCTGTATGCGTTTAAAATTAACTTTAGAGGTATGACATCCACCCATATCTAATCTGATACTAATTCAGTTTATCTAGATACAGCAGCAGTTTTGCTATCAAACAGCCTTCCGTGATTTGTTTCTTGCCGTTTCCTTAACCATTCACTCCCTTCCTTTAGAGGGGAAATTTGAATATTCCTAATAAGGAAGTCTACTTAGCTATCATCGGTCAAAAGCTCTCTGCTATTTTACATTAAGATCCAGATATACATCTAAGACTATGATCAGACAGTCACTATCGATTTACTTTTATAATTATTTTGGCAATCGTTAAACATTTTAAGAGAAACACTTATGAAATATTTTGAATTATAGGGAGCAAACTTTATAAAAAATTCAATATAAAATATAATTCTTCATGTCTTATCATTGCATTATTCAGTGATACAAACAAGGAGATAAAGATTTGATTCCGATTGGAAAATTCAAAGGCACATATCGTATCTATATTAACAAATGTTATTCACAATATTAATACAAACTGTATAGTTAGAATCCTGTATTGTAGGCCTGAACAAGGATGGTATAGGATGGGTTTTTCCCCTTCCAAATCCGACCCAAAGTTTGTTTCTATAGGCGCCTTTTGTTTTTGTTAAAGTCAAGTTCTGGAGTAGAAAACTTTTCCATATGTTGTAGAAATGAATTTTTAAAGAAATATAATCCATTGGAAAAAACAAAAATAGGTCAAATTATTAATTATTATTATTATGGAAAATACAAAAATAGATCAAATTATTAATTATCATTATCATTTTAGTTGCTAGTGTTTAAATTATGGTTATACAGTAATTGCACATTTCTCGTTATTGGTATTCTAATACATTATCAATTTTTAAAATTTATTTAACAGGTTGAAATAGTGCACTTATCATTAACTTATTATTATTTTACAAATAATTGTGTTTTTACAGTAGGAATTTAAGAAGTTAGAATTAAAATTATAAAATATAAATGCGCACACAAAAATCCTAAAAAAAAAAAATCAATTAATTTTAATACTTTAGTTAGCAGTGAAATTGATCCATAAATGATGCTTTTACTGGAAATTTAAATTCTTACCAGAATGTGAGTTAACAATCAAAGCGCTGAAGTCATGCACTAGTGCTATGCTAATGTGGCATAATATAGATTCTAATTAATTTAGAGGAAAAGCACTGATTAAGTGATGCTATTGGCTATTAGCCACTAATTTTTGTCTGAAGTGTTGTTGGAAATTACCTGTGTTTTCAATTTGTTGAGAGGAGTTTGTATGGAACTGTGATGTTTTGTACTCAAGGCTTTTTATACAGTCTTAAATTTCTATTGCTTATTTGCCAATTTTTTATTGATATCTGCATTTTTTTCCCTTCAATTACTTATTTTATATTAATTGTTATTTGTCAGTCACTTGGATATGTTCAGAATAATGATTGATTTAATCCCAGAAGTATCTAGATGTGTATAAGAGACAGCTTGAGAACCATACTTGTGATATAAAAAAAAAAAAATAGATTCGATGAAAAAATTAATATTTATTGAGCAAATAGCTGAAGTAAACCAGTGCCTCTCATTCAATGGTCAGTAGTTCCCCATCCCCACTTTTTATTTTTGTTCATTTTTTTCCATGTATGTCATTGTCTATTATGTTAATTCTTAATTTGTACATAATTTAAATGAGGTTTTTAAAATCATTTTTTATCTTTATTAATAATATAATGATATTTTTAATTAATAATTTTGAAATTGAAACATATATTTAATTATTGTAATTATATATTTTATTTTCTTTATTAATAATATAATGATATTTTTAATTAATAATTTTGAAATTGAAACATATATTTAATTATTGTAATTATATATTTTATTTTATAATACTGTATAGGTACATTTTATGTGTTGTAATAAATCAACACTTTCAGCCTTTGGGTTGTATTTTGTGTATTGAGTTTTATACCTGAATAAAAAAACAAATAAACAAATATTATTATTATTATTATTTATTATTATTATTATTATTATTATTTATTATTATTATTATTATTTTTATTATTATTATTATTATTATTATTGTTTATTATTATTATTATTTATTATTATTACTATTATTATTATTATTATTTATTATTATTTTTATTATTATTATTATTATTATTATTATTATTGTTATTATTATTATTATTGTTTATTATTATTATTATTTATTATTATTACTATTATTATTATTATTATTATTATTATATTGACAGTGATGTAGATCTGTAGGGCATCAAGTTATCTAGAATCTTGATTATGGCCCAAATAGGCTATAACAAGAATGAAGTTGACTTTGTGATTTAATGCATTAGTTTTATTAGTTACTCTTTAATTGTTTTATTTCGTTATGACTACGCATTACCTGATGTATGATATTTATATATGTACATATACCATGCAAAGCATTAGAAATGTTGTCAGTGCAAGCCAGCAACATACATGCTCATCTTCTGGGAATTGTGAGAGTGTTGTTTGTCCTCCTCCTCTTCTTATCACCCCTCTCCATCAGTGCCCAAGTTTTAATTCCCTAGAAGTCAAGTCTGATAAAGTTCCTTGCAGCTTTTACATGTCTGTTGATATCGGCATGCGTTAACACTGCGGATCCGTCGTTTTGTTGGACAGTCGTCGTAACAAGCCCAGATCTCTCAGACACAAACATGCTAAATTTAGCCTAGAGAGGGAGCTAACCTATAAAGCTTTCTTTTGCCGCAGACTTCCATTCTTGTTGATGTGATTTCGTTTAGCTGTGTGCGCCGATAAAGACTAAATAAACAAGCAAGAAAAGCATTTTTCATGTCTGATAATCTGTTATTTAAATTCTTTTTCTCTCCTAAGCCATGCTTAATTCCACTCTCACCCTTACTTCCATCCTGAAACGTTTCATGAGAGTAAAGAAACACATGATTGCAGACAGAAAGACTAACAGCCACGAACCGAAACAACTAAGGTAAACAAATCAAGTTTTACTCCGTAATTAAAACTTTATATTTAAAATACATTTGTTTAATCCAGTGGCAGTGCCAACAGGGGTGCAGAAGGGAGTCAGGCCCTTGTCGGGAAACCCTGTACCCCAGTTGCAAAAGAATCATTTTGTCTGTCAATACTGCTTTGAAAAAAACTCTTTTAGTCTGAAAGTGAAATTCATGGGCATCCAGCAGTGTTAGGCCTATTCTTAAAAATTGCTCCGACCTTGGTGGGACTGAGGTCAGTGCGAACCCTCTTTCGGGATCTTGGACTTAGGATTTGTCGTTGAGGACCTTGTACCCCTTATCGTGGAATCTCTGGCGCCACCACTGGTTCAATCACCGGAATCAATTGGAAATCAATTTCTTTTACTTTTAACCTAACATTTCATTATCTCAAAATTACTGTAATAGCAAGAATCATGATATGGATGAATTTATTTTAATTTTTAGTTATTTTACTTAAAAAGTATTTTTTGGTTTGTGTATGGTGGTCACAACCCCCTCTAAAACCTAACTCGCTTTGCGCCCTTGTATGATCATTGGACTTTCGAAGTGATTCAGTCTACAAACGTCGCCTCAGTCGAAATATGGTTGAGAACCCATGATCTATGTAAAGACTAGGAATGGTATTATTTACAGTTTGTCTTAATTATAATGCAAGAAATTCTTTTTTTATCATTCCATTTTTTGTTCTCATTCTATTTTGCAAAAATAGAATATCTAATAACCTATTATACAAAGTAACAATTCAAATATTTTTTATGATTTTTAGATCATTACTATTATCATTTATAGGCCTACTTTTTTTTTCACCAAAATCACTGTTGCCATTTATTTCATGAATTTATATTTTACTTGACTTATTACAATATTTTTTACTTCTATACAATACTTTCATTTAGAGGTTTATTTCTTTTTATATGCTTATTTAATATTGGATTATTTTTTAAATTATTTTTTTATTTTTTTACTGACCAATAAGGTAAGTATCCACTTTACAGGTATTACAAGACATGATATTACCACAAACTTGATTATAACATTCCAAGTTATGTCAAAACAATATAGCTGGCATACAAGGTATTTTTTTTGTCAATATATTAATATAAGAAATAATAATTTAATCAGTATAGAAATGTAATTAATATTGTATAAAGACCTTATGGTCTTGTTGGAAGCCAATATCGCTAGGCTAGCACATGCATCCTAAGGCACTGTCTGCAAATGTTGAAGACATGCTTCCGGATTAGACCCCACATTGCCATCTCTTCCTACAGCAGCACATCGTAAAGCCTGGGCCTTATTTTTTTGGATGACAATAGACAAAATTTGTCTTCCTAGATGGACAAATAAAAAGTCACAATTTTAAATTCCAACATGATTATTTCTATCACTAATTTTGATTTTGAGTCTTATACTGTAGTGCCATGCCCTTGTACTTTATTGTATTATTATAAGTAAAGTGTCAAGTGGAAAATACTTCCAGTTGTGGTAAACCAGATATCTAACGTTAAGATCTATTTAATCACACAATTCTTGGAAGATCTGGCCATGAGTGGCTCATTAAGTCAGTTTCGCCTTTATGCCGCCTTTATAACCACCCTAGCAATCCTTGTATTATTATTATTATATATGTAAAGTGTCGAACGGAAAATATTTGCGGGTGTGGTAATTTTAAGATCTATATGATATTTATTCATACTATTCTTGGAAGACTCTGGCAATCAGTCGCTCTTAAAATCATTTTCGCCTTTATAGCTCTTGAGAAATAATAAATAATTAGTATGAATAAATAGTGATAAATATTGATATATACATGTTCATAAATATTATTTAATAAATGTTTGGTAAATATTAGTAAATATATTTATACATAAATTACTGATAATAAATATAAGCCTATAATATAAATTAATAAAAATACATAAATTAGTACAGAAAAAAGAAAATTGATAATATAAACAAATACTATAAATAATTACTCTTAAAATAAATTTTGTAAATAAATTCTGTAAATTTTGAAATGAGATGATTTATATAAGTACTCTACTTAAGTACTGTAAATAATTACTGTTAATAAGTACTGTACTGCATATTACAGTACTGTAATATTTTCTTGGCACTCTGGCATTGCTAATCATGAAAAAAATGACATAAAATGATAATGAAGGTTATGATGTATACAGTAGTACTGTATTTCTTGAACTTGAACTTTCACCTGTTTATAGTTCTTATTTTGATAAGATATGAACACGTATTAATTACGGTACTTATGTTTATAGCAATTTGTAAAATTGTTTTTTTTTTTACATGCAAAGTTAGAAATTTGTCATATACTGTACATCTTTGTACAAAACTAATAATTTAATGATAATAACTTTATATTTAATAAAGCGCAAACAATATCCATTTAAAATCATCACAAGTGTTGTACAGAATTTAAAATACTAAAGGTACTAAATAAAAATTGAGACATTAAAAAGCAATTTATAATTTAGCACTTTAAAAATCTACAGTGAAAAAGGATAACATACTGTGATTGAAAAAAGACGCGACATAAAAGAGAACAATAAAACACAAACAAATATTTTTGGATTTTTAAAAGCAAAACACAAGACAAGATCAAACTGCTACATAATTTGCATTAAAAAGTTAAGAAAGAATGCCATGCCAGTAGAAACTACTGCACATCATTTATCTTGGATTAAATCATGTATCTTGGAGTAATTAAGAAAGTAAAATGCAATGCCGATTTAAACTACAGTTCAGTACATCATGTATTTTGGAGTAATGCGAAAAAGGCAGATGAGAACAAAGGCAGATGAGGCATTCTATATGTCTATTGGAGATACATTCTACTAATGTTGTTTATGTACACCATATTTTTATGCAGTTTGAGAAAAAAAAGTATAAGCTTTTCTTAAGATTTGTTTTGTAATAAAATTGTTTGTTTGATTATTAGTTTTGCCTACCTTTATATTTCAATTATAACAAATTTCAAGGGAAAATATATCTGCATGGTACTATATGATATTCACTTTATTTAATTTTGAAGTAACCTACTTTTTGTGAATCAAGTTATTTGAGTTGTCATTGATAACGATGCTACTTCGCTTGTTAAATGTCTGTTTTAGCCCTCTAGGGCCCATCAGTTCCTACTTCAAATGCAATGAAATTGGCATTCCTGAGATAATTGTTGTGTCATGGAAAAAATGTATATTCATGTGCTTATTGAAATATGTTGCTTATCTATTTGTCCGAGTCACGGCAGTGTAGGTCGTAATGGCTCGACTTATAGCACATAGTAGGCCTTCGCTTAATGACTCAATTTGTATGATATGTTGACTTAGTGCACAGTAGCAGAGGAAATATTTTATTTAAAATTAATGTTGTGATATTTACGTAGAAATCCACACACACTAATGTGAAATATATGATTTCTGTGACACACTGGGCCACTTAATTTTGTCATGTTATATATTCACCACACTGGACCACTTAATTGTCATGTTATATTACTAGTATAGCTAATAAATATTTATTAGATAATAACATTTCATTGGTCAATTCCACCGGGTAAAGGGTACGGTAGTTTTTACTGCATTCCCATACTTTTTTTGCATTGAATTAAAAACGTGCTTCATATGTTATTTTAAAAATCAATCATTTTCCCTTTCTCAAATGCCTATATCAGGGCTTACAGTAGGTGAGAGACTGTTTTATAACCTGTTTAGTGAACCCACTGCCCACTAATAATAATAAAATAAAATAATAATAAAATAAATAATAATAATAATAATAATAATAATAATAATAATAAAATATAATAATAATAATAAAATAATTTGAAATAATTTAAAATAAAAATAAAATTTAATTTTTTGCCAATTAGTGCACCCGCTGCCATGAAAAGATGGAAATTTCAGAAAAAAATAAAAGTTTTATTTATTTTTTTTTAAAACCCCACAATTGCCTTGAAATCTTCAAAAAACTATTTTATAAATCTGAAAACAGTTTTATTTATTTTTTTTCCCACCCTCCCCTGTTAATTTAAAAACAAAATATGTTTGCGAAAATAAGATAAAGCAAGTCTTGCCTTAAAGGGAAAAAAGAAACTTGGATCTCTACCACCAGTGGTCGTAGATGGTTCCCAGTCAATGGGAGGGGACATTACATTTTCAGATGTCCATCAAATTTTATGAAAGTACTCCTATACTTTTCAAGGAGTAGGCCTACAAGGCTGAAGTTGATTAGAGAGCAAGTGCATGCAACCACTACAATAACAGAAAGTTGTGAATCAATACCAAAACTGTTATGCCCCTCCCCACCGTGGATCAAGCCCCATATATCCAAGTTGGTCTATTTTTGCACATTCCTGGGCCTTCACATCTTAAGTGAGTGGGGATGCACAGTAGCTGGCAAATTAAGGTGATTTTTAACTACTTGTTAAATTAATTTGTTCAGCAAATTTGCAGCCAGGGTGGGGAGTTGGGGGCATAGGGATGCAAGCTTTTTTATATACTGTAGGGACATATGCCATAATTGCTCGGGGATCCTGTGGCTGGAGTATCCTGTGGCTGGAGTATCCTGTGGCTGGAGTTCTGTGTATAATTCTAATATGCCACATTATGATAATAGTCATTTCTGCTACAGTGGTTCAATAAATGACGGGCTACATGCTAGTCATATCCCTAACTAGTGACATATTGGCCACTGGCTATGTTTAGCCACAGGGTTTAGCAAAAAAAAAAAAAAAAAACCCCATGAAAAGCACTCACAGGGAGTTCCAATTAGAACTGAATGTGGTTTAACAACCTATCTTAATACTTCATTAATTTTCCTCCACAGCCGGGACTAACAACCAGCTAGGTGGCTCAGCAGTTTGTTTAACTAAACCACTAGCAAGGAAAATTTGTTATGTGCTGACATAAACTCTGTACGTACAGTACGTCTGAACATAACGTAAATGTCAGAGCACAGT